GGGGGGGGGGGGTGATGAGAAGAAGAAACCCCATGATATCTTTGCTGAAAATAATTTGCTCGTTGATGAAGAATTAGAGAAGGGGAAGAAGACTCTCAGACACAAGACTAGGAATTTCGGACTATACGATGTAAATGGTCTCATATGTGGTTTTAGTGTCTTTTAATTCTGAGCCTTAGACACTGACACGTGTGAGCATCACAGCCTCTTAGAATTTTTTTATCAAGAACCGTTGATGTAAATAGGGAATAAGTAGGAAGCTTCTCACTACACCTGATTTGTACATGATAGAGAATAAATGAATAAAAGTTAGTTAGGCATAGGGACTGATAATTGTACTGGTGGCTAGAATAGGTTAATTTCTGCATTGTTCCTTACGTTATTTTACAAGTAAAAATGTAAGCTACACTGAAAAGTGAAATACACAGAGAAAATTTCTGCATCATCAATCTTTCATTCCTTCGTACAGTGATAAATAATGGTAGAATTTTTGTTATACATAAATTACTTATTCTACGGCCATTTTTGAATTTAAATAGTCTAATTTATTAATACACTATTCTTATTTTATTTTTTATCTCGTGGTAAAATTATACATAATTTTATGCAAGTATTATTTGAAATCGCCAACCAAACAATGCATTAAATAATGCAATGATTATTTTTTCTTAAACAATCGATTAAGGGGTCGTTTGGTAGGATGCATTAGATAAGCTAATGCATGTATTAGCTTTGTGTATTAATAATACATTGTTTGGTAGACATTTTAAACCCATGCATTAGTTATGCAAGCATTAGTTATACATCCTATGCATAACTAATGCATAGAAAACAATGGTATTAGCAATGCAAAGGGTTTTAATGCATGCATTAGCTTAGTGAAAGACAAAATTGTCCTTCAAAATTTATGCTAGATTAAAATATGCTAGTTAGTATATTAATGCAAGTTCAAAATAATTCAAATAGTGAGAAGTAAAATTATATCCCTAGTAAATAAATAAATACTTAGCATATTTTCTTTTTTATAAATAAATATTTAATTTTATTTTACAATATAGGTAGACAAATAAAATAATTTTTTTAAAATTTTTTCATATAAAAATATTTCTCAACATATATTTCTTTTAAAAAGTTAGAGTGTGGACTAGTTTTGAGGGCAATTTTGTAAACAAACAATTCTTTTAGAAATTGTGCAATACTTTAATACATCAAACCAAACAATGAATAAGAAATATGTCAGCATAACTAATACCAGCATAACTAATGCAAGCATAACTAATATCAGCATTCAGTGGCGGATGCAGGATTTTAAAGTTATGGGTGCTCGCCGATTAAAATTTCAAAAGAAGAGGAAAAAAGAGTTTTGTTGTGGGTGTCACTCAATATTTATTTAAATATTTGCATAATTACCTATGTAAATTACTAAATATGATCAAAAGTAATGGGTGCTTAAGCACCCATAAGTGTGTATGTAGATCCGTCAATATCAGCATTACTAATACACCATATTCAGCATTATTCTTATGCACCCTACCAAACGTTGCCTAAGAGTATTGAAACATGAACAATGTAGGATGACGTGAAGAGGTTGGCCACTTGCAATATTAGTTCGACTACTACGCACCGAGCAAGAAAGAATAGCGACATGTGGGGTTTTGCCGACTTGCCAATTTGAGACTTGGGTCCGCCGCAATATCACCCCCAAGAGGCTGCTCAATTTTGTTTAAAATTGCTTCTGCTATTTTTCCTCATCTGTTTGTACCTTCATCTATTTTTCTCTGTTTATTGTTTCACACGAAGAACCGTACTGAAACATTTTTTTTTTAATTCTCACGTTCATTCTTCAATCCCAAGAACGCCATTTTAGTCAACCTTCAAACATAGTATTGATACACTAATTTTTTACTAAAAGCTCTACCCTCAAAATAGCTTTTACATTGTATTCTTAACAAGAGAGTTTATTCAAATTGAACGCAAAAAAACAGCTGGTCCTCCATATTCCACTAAAAGTGAATAGAGGTAATTCATGAAGATTAAAAAGTGATAAATCTTTGTGATACTAAATTGGCTCAAATAAAGCGAAGTGATAAGTATAACAAACCTCAACTAGTTTGGGATTAACAAATTACTACGATGTGATGATCTTTTTGATCGAGTTATTTATGAATACTGCCTTTTTTCTCCTTGTGGTGACATCAACACAATGTAAAATATACAGTGGGGAGAAAGCAGACAAATATTGTTAATGCAAAGAATTGAAATAAAATTTGTCGCATTCTAGATATAGAAAGAGACTTCACTAGGAGTTCCAACAACGTGTTTTACGTTTCATTTCTATAAGCAAAGGAGCTAAAGGTTTTAGAGCTTGAAACTTTTATACTGATCATGAAGCCTTAAGCAGATAATCCAATAGAAAATTACTCATTAGGTTAACATCAAAATATACCAACTCCACTGGTAATTAATCCTCAAATTAATAAAGCCAGTCCCACTAATAACCTGATACATATAATGAGAACCATTTTGACTAGACAGAAAATTATAATGGACCACATGATATTAAAGCATCTAGTAAGTATATTTGACCACACATAAGAGTGCAGAAATGCCAGATAGTAGTCAAGTGATTAAAACCTGTAATGGGGTTGAAATATTAGCAATGAGTCCAAAAGACAATATTTCCTAGTGTCTAACATACAAGAATATTGATAGAGGGTTCGACAAATCTTTCATATTCAGTCAAGGGAAAATATCTGTACATTTCCTAGTGTTAAACCACCCACCATTAGCCATGTTTTTGGTTTGATCAATGAAATAAATGAACTATGTGGGGAAAAAAGATGATTTTAAAGTTCTAAGAAATATATTTCACTACATATCACCCTACACAAATTCATCGATTTTCCTTTTCAGCTTTAGAAGTTTAAGAAAGAAAGCATAGGAGTACAACACTATAATCAGACACTAGACATCAAAAGGTGAAGTACATTATAATCAGACAAAAAAGGTCCATGAGATTATTTCAAAGTATCAAAGCTGAATCAAGAATAACCTCTCTAAATTAGTACAGAAGTTGATAGATTTAATAACTTAAATAAAAAGGAGTCATAGAAACAAAAAACAACGACTGAACCAGCCCTTAGGCCCATTAAAATGGGCCTACTCAGGAAAACATTTGAGAAATTTTCATAAAGCACTATCTTTTAGTAGTAATTAGCCATCTATAGATACTATTTGCTATATTTCGGATCATAGATACCTTTTCTGTGGTTATAAAATGTATTTGATGTATTTAAGCTATTGTTTTCATGAATACAGTAGCAAAAATAGGCGTGAATCAGGGAAGTCCAGCTAATCAGTTGTTGTATTCGAGTGTATTCGAGTGTATTCATGGAGTGAAACGTGGGATTACAGCTGGACAGATTACTGTATTCGACTATATTCACGGCGTGAAATAGGGGATTACACTATTTTTAAAACGGAAAGTGAATCAATTAACATAATAGACTCCTAATATAACTCAACAAACTCAATTATAACACATAAATTTTGTATTTTCAGTTATAAAAAAGATTCTCAACCGAAAAATACACCAAAAACGTAGCAATCTTCAGAGAAATTATATAATACATCTGAATACATAAATAATATTAATTAAAAAAATATATAAATACATTCATGGCATATAGCGAGATAGTGAATACAATGAAATACATAGAATACAACCGGATACATTGAAAATACAATGAAATAAAAGACAGTGAATACAATGAAATACATGGAATACAACGAAATACATTAAATTACAATGCAAAAAAAGATAATGAATACAATGAAATACATGAAAATACATTGAAATATATTAACAGAAAACCAAGTTGCTCAGCCCCAAACTCCGTCGTCTTTGTTCAAGAACAAACCCTAATTTTCGGCGAACCCGCCGTTCACCGGAAGCCGGTATTGAAAACGCGCCGCCTTGATCCGGCGATGGTGCCTTCAATGGCAAAAAACAACGTCAAAGCCTTCAATGCCATATCTCAGAAGATGTAGAAATCACAGAAACTTATATCCTTCAATGACGAATTGATTGATAAAGACGAATTAAGGATATCACAGAAACTTATATCCTTCAAAGCCTTCAAGCCTTCAATGACGAATTGAGGAAGGAAGAGGAACAGTGAATTCAATGGGTGGTTTTGCCCCTCTCTGTCATTCTCCGCCGTCGATGATCACTCAAATAAAAATTTTCCGAGACAATGGAGATGAATCAGTGGAGAATTGTGATTGTATTCATGGAGAAAGACTGGCGTTGAGAGAGAGAGAGAGGGTGGAGAAAAATCTGAAAGAATGAGAGAGAAAAATAATACAAAGCGTATTTTATGGCTTAAGGGTAGGAGGTGGCCATAAATAGATATTTGGCTATAAAACCAAAAGGTATCCATGGAATATAATTTTTTAAAAAGGTATTTATTTAAAATAAATAAGGTATCAACCTTTGCTATAGGAGGTAAAAATTTCAAAACATTTCAATGCAAAAAATGATATTTTTTCGGGAGAAATTTAAAAATAGCCAGATTTACAAGTGGTCGTTCAAAAATAGCTCAGTTTCAAAAGTAATCGAAATTTATCCACTTTTCATGTAAAGATAAATCTGAGCGAAAACACTGTTCAAAACCCGAAAAGTACGCCAGTATATTATGCTGGAGTTCCAGCATAAGTATACTTGAACTCCAGCATATTATACTGGAGTTCCAGGATAAGTATGCTGGAACTCCAGCATAATATGATGGAGTTCCAGCATAAGTACACTAGAACTCCAGTATAATATACTCGAGTTCGAGCAAAGTATACCAGTCCAGTATAATATGTTGGAAGTTCATACACAAGTGCTCAAATCTCCAGTATATTATGCTGGAACTTTCCGTGTGTTGGAGTT